CAAACAACAAAAGCTGGTGTATACACTATAATTTTTGTTTTAATTCCCACCGACTGTACAACATGTTTTAAAGCTAGACTGCATATTTTAAGCCGAGAACTGCTATGCTATTTTACTATGTCATTTGCCTAAAACATGCAAAAACTGATTGAGTATTTTACAACAATGGCTGATTTATTTTCCTAACTGAACTTTACTCTGCAAACTGCTCCAACTTGCACTGTGCATTCTCAACACCCTCCCCTCTTTTCTTGAGAAGTTTCATGTGTAGCATAACAGATTTTTCAAATTAGATTGCAATCAAAGCACGCTTTCTACGGTTAGTCCTCATCTATTTTCAAACACACACACACACACACACACAGGCTCTCCCTCTCTCTCAAACACACACAGTGACATCAAGGAAAAAAAACACTTAAAAGACTTTCTCGACCCCAAGCACCCTGCAAAGTACAGAGAGGTGATAGCAATTGATTTCAACTAGTATTCAACAACACAGAGCAACTTTATAGAATGGAAGTGAGAGCTTTTTGCTGCTGGGTGGGGTGGGGTGGAGGGGGGGTTGGGAAGTAAGGGGCTGGCTATGGTAGCTGAAACATTTTAAATAAATGAATTCTCAATACCTTCCCGTCTCATGCCGACTTTGAGGCATTTTTTCAGGCGACAGTACTGACACTGATTGCGGTGGTGTTGGTCTATGGGGCAGTTCCTGTTGGCACGACATGTGTACGTCAAGTTTCTGCGCACACTTCTCTTAAAGAAACTCTTACAACCCTCGCAGGTGAACTGGCCGTAATGCTTGCCGCTCGATTTGTCTCCGCACACCACACACTCGATATGCTGCTGCTGCTTCTCGCCTTGTTGCTGGCTCTGTTGGTTGGGCTGGGCCGGGGTTCCCGGGGCTCCCGGCTGGCCTGGGGTCTGCGGGGTAAGGGGTGCTCCAGAAGGCGGCTGCGGTCCTTGCTGAGGAGGGGGTGGCTGTGTGCCCTGCGCTCCGGCCACGTCGTCCTGCGGGTCTCGCCACGTACTGACTACCATTGCCATATCTCGGGCAGAGTGTTATCAGACAAAAAAAAATGTCTTGTCTTTTGAATCGGCAGATGAGGTGGTGTTGGTGGGGAGGGGGGTGGGTGGGTTGGGGGAAGAATGAAGAAAGAAGAGTCGATTAGCTGACAACAACGGAAAAAAAAAATAGAGGGAGGGAGAAAGAGAGAAAGAGAGAGAGAGTAGCAGTTCAAACCCGATCGGCAGAGAAGAAGCGAATGTCGGGGGGCCAGGACCAGGGAAGCACGCAGTCAGCCATTCAGGAAACCCATAAAAAAAAGGACGAAGAGGGATGAAAGGTTAAATATTAAAAAACAAAAAGAGAGAGAGAGACTCGACTCTTGAAGGCAGATGTACGATCCGGAGTAGAAGTGCCCGAACATCAACTGATCATAAATTCTCCGCCGTACTGGTACTGGTAGAACTGCACACACATACACGCGAAGAGAGTCAACAACTCGCCAGCAAAAAGAGAGAGAGAGAGAGACTACAAAAAAAAAGGAGTCGACGTCGTGGAAAAAAAAGGAGCTATAGAACCTCTCTCATGCGAGAGGAGGCAAAATAAGGGAAGAGAGAGAGAATCAAACTGATCAAATATGCAAAAGGGGGTTGGAAGTGAATCCGATTTGAACGAGCGGGCTTGCGGAGTAATTTTTCTGAAAGGGGAAATCTGCGCGGATGGCTGTATATAGTGAACTTTGACACGACTATTGAAACTGACACGTTTCTATGGAGATGCTTTCCTTATATGGCGCTGCCGAGTGACGGAGCCAAGCGGCGGCTGCTGGCGACTGACAATCAAAGGCGACTGGTCAGAGCTTTAGGTTCGAGGGGCTGGGACATCTGGCCCGCCCCCTGCACCGCATTGGATAGGCACCTTACTTATTATCCAGCACGTCCTGGCCGGCAACAAATTTACATTACATCCATGCGCAGAGGTCTACTTCGAAAAAATAAGTTTTTTATTTCTTACACCCACCTCCCTCTCCTAACCAGAACCCCCTACCCACACACACACACACACACACACACGTACATACACACAGATTTTCTTTTTTAAAACTGCAAAGAATTGGGTAGCAGAAAGAATGAAATGTTTTAAACGTGACTATCATAGATTAACATATAGAGATTAAATAATCTTATAAAATTATACAAAAAAGGCTCAGGAATGCAGCAACACTGAACAAACGCAATTCAGACTAATGCTAAACACGTCCTTTATTTGAGGTGAAATCTTGCACTATGAAAATCTTACTTGACATTAATAAAGAACCCACGGTAAAGCTTGCAAGACTATAGCTATATTGTATATTGTTGTTCTATACCATACATATATGCAATTTTCTACCTTTCTGCGCCAAGCAAATTCCCGAATACCAATGCCCTATTAAAACCGGAAAACCATACTATTCACAAATCAGCTTTGGACAAAAAAGTTAGTATTGAAGATGCAACATTGGCGGCGATGAATTTCCATTGATTGAGACATCCTAACGGGAGCTGTTAGAAGTGTGACGGGGATTATTAGAGGTTTTATGAAAGTATCCAAATGAAATTAAGGATCGCTATGTCAGAAATCAGCTACGCTGCTTTATGAAGAATAATTGTCCCTTTACATTGCAGAAGGTGTGTAGCCTGAGAAAAAAAACAAGAATGCTCGAGAGGGTCTTATTCATCTGATGAACCATTATTAATACGGATAACTATCACGTTTACTTTGAAATACTTAAAAGTGAAACGAGCTTTGAAGTGTGCAGGTACTTAGTGAGATACATATAGACGTATAGAGATGCATACAGATTATTAAATAATTTCGAATTAAAATACCCAAAACTCTGTGGACGAGCGGTGAATCTTTGGAGCGGAGCTTCCCCGATTCCACTTTCGCTCCCTGCCCCTGTGTAGTAATGGATTCGAATTTCCAGTGCCTTTATTTTGGAAGAAAGACAACTCTATTTATACCCTATTATATTTAGTGGTCATTTCGGTTGCATGGGGTTAGTCTGTTGGCAGCGCTACCAGCATTATCTAAGAAATTGATGATTCAACAGAACAAAATTGGCAAATGTAATGTTCGCGAGTAGCATATAAACTCAGGTAAACTCAATGGTTTTGGAGGCTCGAGCTGCATTGTAGTTTATATTTAATTATAGTAATAGATAGCTTGCGAAAATACGTCTGCTAAATAAATGCATGCAATTGTATGGACAGAAAAATAACGAGAAATATGTTATTGTAGGAAATTGCCATGTGTGAGATTTATCTGGCGCTGGGGTCTAAATGCGCATTTCAGTGTTTAATATGCTATATACACTTCCGTACGCATTTTAGAAGGAATCCTGTATATTTGACAAGTAAATCTTGAAAATTCAAAGTACGTGTTACTGATAATGTTCAAACATTTCCGTGCTAAAACGACCATTGCATGGTTCCCCAGCTAATATATAAAATGTGAAATTAGGGACACGTTGCATTAAACAGGTGTTCCATTAGAGGTGCAATGGCTAGTAGCCTAAATACCGTTACTTGAGAGGAATTATTTCCCTCCTCTGCCGTGTCGACTTTCTTTCAAAAACCTACTTGAACGCATATACTAATTGGGACCAGCCTCTTCGCAATGTGCTTACAATTCAATAAAGTGATTAAAAAGTATAACCCACGATGGTCTGGTTACTTGAGGGTAAACAAATTCAATTTCGTCTTGATGTTCACTTGACAAAGCAATCACACAGAAACCACACACACATCAGCAAAGACTGGACAAAATCTTCAGCACAGCAGCTACAGTAATATGTTATAATCTGGAAATTGCATGCATCTTTTCAAATTTAACTGTTTGTAAAAGGCCAGACAAAAGACCAGAATGAAGTATTGACATTCAACAGTCTAAAATGCAACATGCAGTTAATTTTGTGAAATATGAAGTGAATGTCTTTTGTTATTAATTAAACCATCGTGCAATGATATCAATGTTATCAGATGAATGGTGGTTCCTGCTAATAACTTTTCTCGAGAAAAGTTTGGGTTTATTATCAGTGAATGTAATCCCTGTTTTCTTTATTACAAGTGGACAGGTTGTGCTTTGTAATCATTTCAAAAGTTACTTTGGTTTACTGTGAAACAAAACAACGTGTTAGTTAGAAACCAGTCCCTCTCAAATTAAATGATTTCTAAAGGATTGAGCGAAAATATACGGTTTTTTTAAATTGAATATTGCAGCGGGCACAAACCATGGCATGGCCAGAGAAACTATTTATAACACGGACTGGATGCCACTTACTTCCCAGTTGTTCCCTGATAACCAGCTAGATCTATTGAATTTGTGGTCTCTGTGAATTTGCCCTGTTTTTTCTCTCTCTCCCCCCCCCCCCCTGCCCCCATCCCCCCCCCCCCCCCCAACACTACATTACAACACAATAAATGGGGAAAGTGATTCCCATTATGTTCCGGTGATCTCAAAGTCATTGCAGTTTTTAAGCGGTGACTTGTGGCACTTTGATAACCGCCGGGAGCTGTCACTGAAGCGGGCTTCTGAAAAATTTACAGTGCTAAATCGCAGCATATGCTGGAGAATTTGTCAAAATCTTGTACAGTATCTGGCTGCCACCTAGCGTACGGAGTGTCGCTGTAGAACTCCAGAGGAGAAAAGCCATTCAAAGGGAGCGCGGCGCCTGCTCGCTCGCAACGCGTTTTTATACACCAACCCCCCACAAAAAAAAACTTCTGCACTTTTAATGTGATTAATTCTTTAGGATTTTTGCTGTAATTGACTCGGACGTTGCTGAGCGGGACTGCTGATCTCCGTCGCTTTGTGTTTCTTCCCCCTCTAGATCTGCCTGGCCACTGGCTTGACTTAGATGACTGGGCATGTGTCTTATTTCTAAAACAACCGATTGGTAACAGATTCGCTTTTTCTCCCACCTCCTCCCCCCACACCCCCCCCCCCCCCCCCCCCCAAAAAAAAAAGCGGCTTCTTCTAACGCAGCAAAGCCAAATCGAAGCCGGGTGCTTCATTTCCCAATAAGCAAATATACTCTTTCTTTAAAAAAAAATCCCAAATCATCAGCCGCTTCCGAGGATCTAGGTAAAAATGGTGAGTACCAATTTATTGTGAAATTACAAAAAAAAATCTGTTGATTGTAAACACGGCTATTTTCTCTCGAGACGATTCGGTGATTTATTTCTTTTTAAGAAGAAAGTTTTAAATATGAACTCGTGTTGTAAATCAAATCACTATTACACAACAGTTTAACCACGAACTAAAATTTAACTAAAATCCAGTTCATTGAAACGCAGGACAAAGATCCTTTGGGTTTCTAGCTTACAACGGGCCACATCTTGAGGGGAAAAAAATCGAAGTTCCTTTTAATTCTAAGTTGTCGAGATTTGTCATATTTCTGGTCGTAAGGTTGTCTATCCACATTATTGCATAGCGGGTGAGAGATAGCGATACGCTCCGCGGTACGAAAGTCCGGGACTGATCGCTATTAATTTAGCAGGCAATGAACGCAACAATCCGGTGGTTTATTATCAAGAAAAATCCAAACATAGAGAGAGATTTTTTTAAAAAAAAAGCACGAGCCTGATTTAATGTCCTTTTTTAAAAAAAACAAATCTAACATTAATTAAAGCAAAAAATCCCTAATTGTCTTAACGGATATTAAATATCCTCCGAATTAGAACATGTGTTGAAATTCAAAACCTGCCTGATGTTAAAATAACAGAAATGGATTAATACATATAGGTGTTTAAGAACGATCGTGTATTGACTAAGAAAAAAAACACCTTTCCTTCCCTAAGTAAAATACATATATTTATTTTAAGAAAACATACCAAACATCATCGCTTGCAATTGTCTTTGTTCACTGTCCGAAATTATTTGCGTCGTGATGGGTTCGAGTCTCCTCTGGACACAGGAAGTTGTGAATCTTGGCGGAACTGAGTTGGAAACTACTGAGTGAGATGAATCTCTTTTTTTCTCTGGCAGGTGAACTAAAGGAGGGCCCCGTCTCCTCCTCACCTGATCTATTTGTCTATTGAAGAGAATCATTCATTCCATCGGCCGTCATCTGTTTGCGCGACCGATAGTGTAAACTGATAGAAGGCTATGCTTTTGGCGAGAAGCGAGAGGCTTTACATAAATATTCAGAACGCGGGGAAGCACTTTCGATTTGCCATTTCAACTTTCGCCCAGTCTTTTGGTGCACTTTCAGGGAGTGCCGCGGCCGCTGGAGCTGGTGGAAGTGTAGCGGAATGCGAGCCGCGTTATCTAAACAACATTCCCCCACCACCAGAACCAACGACACCCCCCACCCTCTCACGCTGCCCTGTCCTGGACAATTTTCGCCCCCTTTGCTGTGATTAGTTCCACAGCTTTTTACTACAATTCCCAATCAATCTTTCGCATTGGAAAACCAAAAGTGCACGAAAACAGTTCAAATTGTAACTGATCACAGTCACTTTAACGCTCAGTTAGAACTAGAGAGAGATAGAAAAATTAAATTGCAATCCTTTTTACCATCTCTGCCCTCCGAAATGGTAACTGATTTGATTTGGTAACAGGAGTTTAGAGAACTTTGGTCGGTCAAAATAAATCTGGTTTCAGTACATTCCTTCTATAAAGTTGTTTGTGCCTCGGAATACAAAGGTAATGATTTGCCCCAATATTTAACCGCCCCCACCCCCTCGCCTCTTCCTCCTTCACAGCCTCAGTCCTTACCCCATCAACGCTCCTGTGGAAGAGCGAAGATTACTTTGAGGTTTTGAGATGAATTGTTGACAGAGAATGCGGTTTGTGCCCAATGTAAAATTATCTGCGCGTTTTCGAAAGGCTATCTGTGGCTGATGGAGAATCTCCCAGCCTCAGGCCTTTGTCTTGGCAGAGTGGAGAGGGGATTGTGTGTGAATCGTGTGAAAAGGACGGCCAGGGTCGCTGCAGATCGATTTTTATTTGTCCCCTCTGTCTTTTCGGATCAGTGCCCTTCAATGGACACATAGGCGCTCTTTCAAGAGAAAAATCTTGTGCAACATTTCTGGCCTGATTGCAGCTAAATACTGCTCACCCTCCGGTTTCTGGGCTAGGAATCTACTGCAATTAAATCATTAAGTACATGTGCACTTCCAAATCTTGCCAGTATTAGCCGCTCCACTACGTTTCCATACAGCCATTTCTAATGACACAAAAGATATGAGAGCCTAAACGTGAAATAGATATTTCTACTGGCCTTACATATACACTTACACAAACAAAATACACAGCTTATCCAGAGGCGATTTCTTGATGCTTTTATGTTTTAGGAAAAAAAGCAAATCTGCAAGTAAAATGGCTAAACGAGGGAAACCAATTTAAAGATCTTTGAACATACCTATATCTTGGTGTATTTTCAATTGTTAAGGATGCTGAATTAACTGGATATGTTTCAGGTGTCTAATGTGTGCAGCCTAACCTCAGCTAGATATCATTGTGTTTCACATTTCTCAAAAGGCACGAGGTGGTTCAGTTGTGGGGAAGCTAATTAACAAGCGAAGTAATTTCTGCGCAAAGCTGATATTTCTGCAATTGGAGATGGAGTGGTGGTGGCGGGAACAGGTTCCTTTTGGCTTCACACATTTTATTATTATCTTGAGAAATACATTTTAAAGTTGACAGTGGTCGCATCCAGTGGTGTATGCTTAAAGTGAAGGCATGTAACATTATGGCCTAATTGAGCAGAAATAGTAGGAACGTAAGGATCAAACATAATGCTAACCCTCTGGCCTCGCCAATATAAAAGTTGACATTGCAGCATTACGTTTCAAAATGAAATGTCTCCTTGATTTCTGAGTTCTCTTTTAGCCAGCGTTCCCACTCAAATAATCACCATGTACGAACTGCGGTGCATCTGCCGGTTTCAAAACCGAAAAAAAATTCTAAGAAATGACACTGCTTTAACAAGACGAAATGTATCGTATTGTGGAAGACATGCACAATTCATGGATTGGCGGAGATATTGTCTTTTCGAATGCACGGCATTGCAAAACAAAAAATCAGGTTAACATCAATTCTTCTGTGTTATACGGCGATAATGTACAGTCTAGCCGTAATAAGATTCACCCAGTTTCATGAATGGAAAGTTGCTGATAACGAGACATGTAGCTTATTAAGAATCGTGTCGCATTAAATGGATACTGGGCGTGACTCCGAGGTTGAGTCAAGAAGAAACTGAGCTTAACAGAAGAGGAGACAGAATAAAACGAGAAAAGGGCTAGAAAAGGTACAACATGGAGACAGTAGTTGTCTACAAATTACAACACACCGCCTATTGGGTCCTGTATCGATTGGGAGGGAAGCTGAAGATGTCACCAGGCCAAATATTTACTGATCACACACAAATAACACGGGCATATCGATTGGTTTTTCGTTGGTGAGCAGAGAGCAAAGGGGTAAATCATTGTGTGTTAAGAGAGAGGTTTTAAGGACATGTTTCAGGTGTGGAGAAACAGGAGAAAAAGAAGTGCGGAAATCGATAGACGCTGATTAGGAGGCGATTTCTGACAGTGGGAGAAAGTGTCATGTTGACGAATTTAAAAAGCAGGCTGTCAACTAAAATTAAAGGAAAAAAGAGGAGACGGAAATAATCAGTATGAAAGATGTTTGTATAAGTTTCAATCTACTAAATACAATTTGACTGAAATGTAAATACATAAAAGGAAAGGGTCTGGAAAGATACAGTCCATCCCCCTATATAAATACTGTATATCTATACATTCCAATGCATTTGCACACACATAATGCTAGGTGTCATAACATTGATGCAAATAGATATACTTTGGAAAAAAATATCCCTGCAGGATACTGAAGCAAAGCTGCATGTTAACATTTTAAATAAATTAAGCTTCCGTCTATATTTAGCTGTAAAGCTGCATAGAAGCGAAAAGGCAAACCACATCCCGGGCTATCTGGGAAAGTCTAATTAGCGATTTGTAGAGTGTCATCTCCTGTTTTGCACTCCCTAGAGATAAACTGAGAGTTGCAGGTGGAGAGGATGGCGGTGCTAGAGAGGATGAGAGAGAAAAAGAGAGAGAAAGTGCGTTCACCCTCACCTTCCAGGAACCCAAGAAAATATCCCACACTCCAAGCGCAGGACGAGGCCCCTTTGACCCCAGGCCTCACGTGCTGCCCTGATTAACCCATACCGGCCCAGGATCTAGAAAAGGTTAACCAGGCTAATGAACACGCAAAACAAATCGGATGGAGTCTGAAGGCGAGGCGGAAAGATGCAAAATAGACAAGAATGCTGATAAGAACTCCCTGATGCTTTTCGTTTGCTAGAGAGTAGAGAATTAGAATTGTTCCCTTGTGATAAACTTCTCTAAGGTATGGTCTAATATGAAGCTATCAGAAAGGAGAAGGATTAAATGATCAGGTTAGCTTCAAACTGCATAGCGATCGGGGTAATCAGAATTTCAGAAACAGATCACTCTGTTTAGGTTCTTGTAAAATTCCAGGTTAGTAATTTTGTTTTTTTAAATGTTGGCTATTTTTATAATCATTTTTATAAGAAGTTCAACCCGACTTTCCAGATAGACTGTGCACAGATTATGTTACAGAATCCGCACATTTTGCGACCCAAGGCACAAATGATAATTGGCAACAAGTGTAGACTCCTTCATTCAAGTCCACATTGAACATCTTCTTTGGCCGATCAAACTTGCGACGCAGTTTACATCCACTTACGTCGCACCATAAATGATGTTGAAAGGTAGAGAGGAGTTGCGATCGATACACACAGACCCAAGAAACAAACAATAAACAGAAGCTGTCAACAGGAGCTGACAGAAAGATGATTTGCGACGAAAAAAAAAGTGAAAGTTTGGTTAACAAACTGATGGACGCTAAGATATGGTCTCAATATAGAGTTAGAAACGGAGAGCTAATGTAAATGAATAAAGTAAATAGTATGCTGAATGTTCCTGTCTGGGAAATGGGAACAAGCATGTTTATTTAGAGCTGCGAGAATTGACTTTTTTTTAGAAAAATGAAAACTACTTTTTAAAACAAAACTTTGTATATAACTTTGGAAGTTGCTTCCAGACTGCTGCAGACACGATCTGTGTTACCGATGTAAACCAATTTGTCACTGTCCGCTTTAATTATTGGGGAAACGCCAGGGTTCAGCAGCCATTCCACTTAATATATTGTTTAAAGGTTTCACTCGCCTGCCTGGATAGCCTTTCACCACATCACTTCACCCATCTCCTGATCTCGGCCGTCTCTCACGCAAAGTTTTCTGAGCCCAAGTTTGTTCTAAGTGTGGGATCAAATCTCAATGAAGCATTTATAGCAAATGATTAGACTATCCCCACACCAACAACCCCATGCCCCCCAATCTCAACAAGACCATCGTTAATACAGATACGAAAATAGCTTTCCATTCCTCTCCCTCCTATTTATTAATCATTAGAAGTTCTCTTGTTTGCAACTGGCTCCTATTCGTGTTTAAGATAACTGTCTCTTTTGGGTCATTTTAAATAATCATGTTTATTTTGTCATGTGCTCAAGGTACAGACATATACAACCGCTTATTTGTAATTCGTTTTTACCTATAATTGCCGGTTCTAGAACGGTGTCTTTTTTTTAAACTACAGTACCATATTGTTTATTCAAGGTATAGGAAGCATGCAGTGGCCCGTTTCACCTGCTGTCTGTCTTGTCTTTCTCTGTGAACAGTCAGATCAGAGCTCGTTTTAACTTTCATTAATCAGTGAGTTGGCTGCTGCTTCAACTTTCCGGTTTCTTGTATTGTTTTTACATTTCGTCCATGAACACTTTGTTGTTCATTTAAAGGTGCAGGTTACAGGCGCTTTCTCTACCCCCACACTACCACCCCCCAACCCCTTCCCTTCTCTATCTGTCTCTGTGCCCTCAGGGCCAATCTGAGAACATGCAGCCAGTAGATTGCTTTCAGAGGCAGGCTCTGCGATGATGGATTGCCATGTCAATTTAACCGGCGAAGGATTAATTTGTTTCAATGATTTCTCTTTAGGCAGAACGCCAGCATTTTTCTATCTCTTCCTTTCCCCTTCTCTCTCCTCTTTACAACCAAAGTAGATGTAGTTTGTAAGGGTGATAATAGTAAGAGATAAGTTTGACTCGGCCGTGGCGTGACATTGCAATAGGGCTACACGGTGATGTTCTATCTCCTTAAAATGACTGCTAGCTATCTGATCTTAACTTTACAGTCACATTTATTATGTGGATGCTTGTTTATAACTCACCACAGAACAACTTCTGCATGGTGTCTTTTTTTTAGCCCAACGCCATTTCAATGCCAAAAGCAAAAAACAGTCATTTTAAAGTTCTGCATAAAAACATTGATGATCAACTTATTTCCGAAGAACTATTAAACCAGAGGGGATTGTGGACCTGACATTGTCTGTACACACAGGAACAATGCACTGATGCAGGCAAATTTATCAAACCCCAATTTTGCTCTTTGTAAAATAATAGCTTAGATGATCTGCTATCCTAAATGACTGGCTATTAGCAAGCCTCAATCGACAATCAACCTCCCCCTTCCGCCCCCCCACACCCCCCCCCCCCACCCCACCATCCCATCCCGCCACACATCCGTCCTTAATGCATGTAACTTGATTACTTGATTCCATCGTGCACAATTACTTGCTGAAATCTTGTTTCTTCCTAATTATTTCGGCTAATGAGTTGGTCTTCTCGTTTCTCTTAAACGGACGAGTTAATCAATAAGACTCCATAATGCATATAGACAAACGTTGTTTCTATACTTCTGTAACGTCCAGCACATTGAGCGGCCTAGACTGAAGATCCCACACCCTCCCACCACCCCGCCCCCCCCATTCTTATTTACATTACACATGAATATTTCGGTTTAAGGTATTAAAGTATTGATCAATTCGGATGAAAACAGGTTAGTTATTCGATTTTACTTGTACTGTCACTGGCACTGCACAGGCAGAGTGGTTTAAGTTGGAAGCTCCCTTCTGCCCTTCTAGATGACAATTTATATGTTACTAGATCACATGGCGCAAATAGCTGTAGACTCCCATCAAAAACTTGGTGAAGAAGATTAATAGGACTCGTCAGAGCTATGAAAGCACAGCTTTGCAGTAAATTTATGCTCCAGGAAGATAAATTGCTGATGAAGATTTTAGTTATCAAACATCTCCAGGCCTCGACGACTAGATTTAATTAGTATTTTTTTTCTCTCCAAAATCTGAAATTATGTAGTGCACAAATCAACTTCGTAGGATCATTAAAGCATGTCAAACGGAGCTCTTTTTGACTTTTTTTTGGGCCAGCCTAGCATTTTTGTCTAATGGATGAACAGCCTCCCCCATTCTGCATTGCTTTATTTGAAATATCATGCTGACCCTTTAATTTTAAGCAGGCATTATTCAAATCGCTGATTTATGATCAATAGCAACCGACAGAAATGTGTGTATTATTTAAGTACCTCCTTCTCTAGTGATGGAAATGGCTGTAAGGAGAAAGTATAGCATATCCTTCATGCCAGGGAGTTTAGTGGTCACAATAGAAGCCGCGCGGTAAAGTGCGTAATAGAATAATAACTTCGTATATGCATTGTCAGATCCGTTGCTCTCAAAACATTGACTGCCAACTTACGCACATATCCTCCATCACCAGCTTTTCACCAGAGTACCTGTTTCAGAAGTCCCAAGTCAGGTGAAAATTTTGATATCGTCTGGCAATTGGAATCTCCAGAGACTAACATCTGAAGTTTGACTGGGGGCTGGACGCAACAACTTGGAGAAAATATGCCTTGGGGAGTGAGAAATAAAAATCCCTTTAATGTAGTTGTGTTATGAATCTAGCGAACAGTATTGAGAATCCCTGACAGCTAGTGAATTAGGGTCTGAGCTCCATTTCAATGTGCTGTGTTCAAATCCGTCCGCTCGTCCCTCCAACTTTGCAGCTATTGACTTAGCAAGTGAACAGAACAGGCGAGAAAACATATAGTTACAATTTGGCACATCATTTCATCCGGAAACATTTTGAAACCTTTCGCATTTTGCGATTGGACACAAATAAAATCAATTATTACATCTCATCTGTTTGGATTAGTGATTAAAATTGGAAATGATGAAAAATCGGAACTTTATTCATTTATATAAAGCTTTGAGAAATGGTGAGATTTTGGCACGGAGTGCGTTATAATAGAAAATAGGTCACTTCACAGTACTCGTATTCATTACACACAAATCTGGGAGTTCATTGCGAAATGCATATTGAACGCAGTACTTTTCAAATATGTTGACTTAAATATCATTTTGACCATGCTTCATTTAAACCTGGCACATACATCTGTTTGTTTTCTGCCAATTAATTCGTGACTTTATTATGGGAAACGCTGGAAAGAAGCGAATTCATGTGACACTGGTGGGGAACGTTTTACTTTATTAAAACATTAAAAGTTGGTAACTCACCCTTCCCAGAGCAGGCTCACTTCGCGGTGAGCAACATCCGACCAAACCACTTGAACACCCCATGTAACTCTTTCTTTTTTTGAAATGAAAATGCAAAATGCTGCCAGAAGAAATTAAAATAACGATTCCATCATTTACAACTATGAATTTGAAACTTTTTAAATAACTTTCTCAACCAATTTAAAAGATCTCGATCCTCACTGTTGCGCGATATTCGGACAATACAACGGCTCCTGTGACTAATAAGTTTTAATGCGGAGGAAGATGCATCATCCATGGTGTTTGTAAAGATAATTTGCCAGTTAATAGCACTTAAGATAGATACTTTAGAACAAAATAAAATTGCGTTGGCTGTACACTGTAAAATTTACTGTTAAATTGGAAGGATCCAATTGTTATATTTATATATATATTTCCACTTTTCAAGGTGCAGGTTAACAGAGTTAAAACAAATTTGGTGCTTGAACACAAGCAGAAAACCCAAGAAAGTTGTTCCACAAGGATATTTACGTAGCTTCATCATAACAAAAGTTACCTTTATCTTTACAGCTATCCTAGAATCCACCATTATATGGTAAGTTGATGAAATGAGTTTTAAAATTAATTTTTGCTTTAAATGTCTTTCCAGGATTGTGCATCCATTTCCCTGAAGAAGAGTAACCATCCAAAACTACACAGAGCATGGTTAAAATGCCAAGTGTATTTTCCTTGAAAAGTTACATTTTTAATCTAATTAATCAAATCTGATGGTAGTCTGATAATTTCAAAAACTGCACCATGTATTTCTTGACTTTAACAATCGACTTCCTGTCCCATCTCAGAGTCTCTGACCAACTTGAGTCAATTTGGATGCAGTAATGAAATTGATCATATTGTGCAAACTGACCCATTTCCTCACACAAAACATGACAGAATATCACACCTGTGAAATTTCTTTCCATTCTTATCTAGGCAAGGTAGGTCAATGTCAATCTGTCACTAGATGCAGAAGATTCAATATGTTCTCTTAAGTTGTTGAACTTCAGCTGGAAAATTTCACTAATGGGATAGTCTAATTATTATGCAATCTTTCTATAGTTGAAAGATACCTACTGTAACCTACTGTAACTGCTATAACAATGCTCAACTAAAATTGGTTTAATGTGCCCCATTCCTAGAATTACAGGTTGAATGCATCCCTCAAAACCCATGAATATTAACTTTGCAATCAAATTTCTCCTATCTGTTAACGTGTGAAATAACAGGTTTGTTTACATTCAGAATACGATGATTGTTTAACTTACAAACATTTTTTAGAAAAAATATAAAAGCATGAATTACAATACAATTAAATTATGCCTGAAACTGCATCTTTACCTTCTGCAATGTTATTTAATGACAGTGCAGCACCTCCTGCAAAAAGTAGTGTTCTAATTTCAGATAATGAGCCTTCCAGCTCATCAGCTTTATATGTAAAGTGTATGTAACTGCAAATTGTGAAATCCTAAGTTATACATAATTGGGAGCCAAGAACAAACTTATTGAGTGAGTTGCATTGATATTCTGGCATATTATATATGATAATGATATATGATAATAATGTAACATATTATGAACACTGGCTGTGTGGAACAGTGCCACTCTTAACCAAGTTAAAAGATCCTGATTCCCATTGTTGTGCAATTTTTGGACACTGTAACAGATCCTGTGACCAACAGCACATTTTAAGGACAAAGTATTTTCTCTGCAACTGTGATCATAATATCATAATACTTTGATTTGAGTTGCACATCTTATGCTTTGCAGTTTTGAAAATATTTAAAGATGTGTACATCAGTAATCAGCCTGCTCTTCATGAGTGTTCTGCCTGAATTCCATTTAGGAGCAAAGCTAAGTGAAGTGTTAGCATTTGACATATTTCAGTGAAAATAAAAATCAGTAATTAAAATTATCATTTAAGCACACATAATTTCTGCTGAGATTTCTTATGCAAAAGATATTTTGAACATTACAACTGCTATTCAGAAACTAATATAACATTGCTCATTTCTGTACATTAACAAAAAGAATTTATCTTTAACGTTGTTTTTAAAGACAGGAGGAGTTTTATTATCGAATCAGAGATAGTAGGAACTGCAGATGCTGGAGAATCCGAGACAACAAGGTGCAGGGCTGGATGAACACAGCAGGCCAAGCAGCATCATAGGAGCAGAGAGGCTGACGTTTCGGGCCTAGACCCTTCATCAGAAATTATTATGTTAAGTTTGAACCAGTTTCTGTCTCAGTGGATCAGTGAATACCTTTTCAAATTCTTGGTGAAAACATAATGAGAAATTAAACACATCTGCATATATACTTTGCTGTGTTCTGGAATGAAAATGGATACCATCATTATTAGAGAAAGGAACAGCAATTATGACAAGAGATGAGAGTTTTAAACCGATGTAACATTTTGTATGTTTAACATTGACTTCAATCCAGCTGAGTTTGCTTGTTCAGTTTAACATACGCTCAAGTATATGTTTCTGGAGCTTTTGTTGTCCCCTAGTTCGTTTAACATATTGCCTTTGATCCCATTGGTCTTTTTTTAACTCACTGTACACTTCAAAATCATCACATTTCATGTCTCAGATATATTATATCTGGACTTTTGACCAGTTTGTTTTCTCATTTCTGAGCATTGTCAATTGCTCCAAAGCAATGGCCAATTACATTAATCAATGCAAGGATCTCAAAAGAGACCCTGAGAAATATTCAGAAACATATGTTCTAACAATTTTGTGACTATGAATTACAAAATGTTAGTTCAGGGAACACATTTCCATTTCCATTATCAAAGTACAAGAGGCCAATGTATTGGATTAAAAATGATGGCCTCCTAGAGTCTTTTGATCATGTGTTTTAGGATCTAATTTAGAGGAGCACTTCCAATACCGGTGTGATATTTTCCCATGTTTCACTGAAGTTATCCTGAGGTTCCTCCATACCACTTGTTAACAGTTGTACTAAATTTTGACAGGTTTGCTTTGTGTGTCCAGGGGCCACTTAAAATTAGGCTGAGGTGTTTTTGGCAGAACTTTACTAACAACAACAACTGAGAGCCACAGAGTCATTAAGTCGTTCAGCATGGAAACAGTCCCTTCAGTCCAACCAGCCCATGCCGAGCACAATCCCAAACTAAACCAGCCCTACCCACTTATTCCTGGTCCAAATCTGTCCAAACCTTTTGTATTCTTGTACTTATCTAAGTGTCTTTTAAATGTTGTAACTATGCCCCCATCCACCACTTCCTCTGGAAGTTCATTCCACACGCGAACCACCCTCAGTGTAAAAAATTTGCCCCTCATGTCTTTTTTAAATCTCTCTCCTCTCACCTTTAAAAAATGCCCCTTAGCCTTGATATCCCCCATTTTAAGGAAAAGACACCTACCATTAACCCGAACTGCATACCCCATGATTTTATAAACCTCTATAAGATCACCTCTCATCCTCCTATGCTCCATTGAAAAAAGACATAGCCTATCCAGCTTTTCTTTACAATGTTCCATATCTGGCAACATCCTGGTAAATCTTTTCTGATCAACTTGTATTGTACATTGTCTTGAAAGTAGTAAACTTCCCAAAGTACTACAGAAAAATCCTGTCAGAAAAAACTTGGTGCTCAGTCACATCGACATATTGAGACAGGTGACTTAAAGCTTGGTCAATTTTGTAGAAGGACAGAGAGCAGTGGAGAAGCTGTGAGGTATGGGGAGATAATTCTGCAGCTTAGTGCCTTGACAGTTGGAAGCACAGCTGCTAACAATGGTGAATGATGTCTTATCAACATCAGATCTCAATTAGTACTTAAAGTTAAAGATAATGAATTCCATCACATTAAATTTGGAATATTCTGATATACCAGAGGTAGCAAATTATTACTGAATATTGAAATTCAAAGTGTCATAATAGGGATAGCTGCAGTAAACTGCCGGAGGATAGGAAATGCGAGGCGTTATTTACAGTATTCCTGCTTTAGGTTGTCAGAATACTGCAGCTGTCTTCAAACAGCAAAGATAAAGAATAAACATCAGTTAACCATCATGCCTTTAAGCAATTAAATTTTCATATGCAATTGTCTACATGACTGAGATATTTTAAAAAACAACGTGATAATGTATTGAGTCTGAAGGGCTTGTTTGGCAAATGTTCCAGACAATTTGAGTTCTAACACAAACAAACTAATTTGATTGTTTAAGGGTATTAGATGCTGGCTTATTCAAACCTCCTGCAGTTCTTTTGCATTATGAGCGCTGGATTCCTTTGTGGCTTTAAACTTTCAAGCCATGTTGGATGGAAACTGTATTGTGAAAATGTAATCAAAATCTTTAGTTAACAAAGATTTAACTGCAAGTTAACAGGTTTCCAGAACTTGAGATTTTTAAAATGGTCACATTTTTAGACTGCAAGGCACCCAAAACTGAAGAAATATTCTGGGTAAGAGGTGAAGCTAAAGTATCACACAAAATACAAAACACAATTAGATAAAATTATGAGCAGAAATATGAATTTTTGTTCATGCTCACCAAAATTGTAAGTGACTGGAGTAAGTTCTCCAATCTCCGAGCTAGCCAGCAACAGCTCTGTGTATGAGAAGTTAATATAATACCACATTATCGTACACTTCTACAGAAATCATATGTGGTAAAGGCAGATAAACATGCATTTTATGAATGTTCCTCCGTACAAGTAGCTTAGGGCTATTTCATTCACAACGTTTCAAATTATACAGTCTTTTGTTGCTAGTTGCAAGTTGTCTTCTTTTTAGAAACTGTCATTTTGATACAGAAATGATTTGCTTCCCTTCATTATGCTGAAAATATTAAAGTATGAATGTATATAGATGGAAACTGATGACCTGAATTCTTACTGGTAAAGGAAATTTGTCTTTATGACTGTAATGGACAACATGGTTTAGATAATATGTTTCAAGCCACAACTAAATCATTTGTGGTTTCCTTAGTTCTTAACTATACATCTTAGAACCCCATGTGTCGATCACAGACTCAATTAGTTGGAACCTTCCGATTTAGTAAAAATCAAACATAAATCTTTATTTATGGTAAAATAATTTTTACAGCCTTAGTTGCCGGTTTTTTACTTCCAGAACATGATAGAAGAAAGTAGTTGTCTCTTGTTATTTTTTTCTGAAATTTAGTCACAGAATACTGGACACATTGGAAAACACCTGGAAATAAAAATATTTTCACAAGTATTCAAAAGACCCTAATTCTAATGAAGACTTCAGGGATACAGAAGTAATGACCACCAATCCAGGAGTTATGCCTGGCCTGTAAGTACATCCAGACAAATTTCTGAAAAATCACAGATAGCAGATGGAATTACAATTCACAAAATAATCAATACTTGATGAAAAATATGTGCATGACTATACCAGTTTATGTATAAGCATTTATCTGGAACCAGAAAATCATTTAGATATTCCTCAGATTTTGTATTGGATTACCACTACTTAAATGTTTTTAACTGTTTATTTTCACTGCTTTACACTGAAGTAAGTTATTTGAACTAATAAACAGAAGGGTTCACCTTTAGGTCTCAAGACTTGCCAACCATTTGTGTTCCTCAGGTGTCTCCAGGAATTGAATGCTATTCTCTATGAATCGAGGGATAAAAATGCTGAAGTGTTAGGAACATGTGTATATTTCAGAGATAGCAAGAACTGCAGATGCTGGAGTCAGAGACAACACAGTGTGGAGCTGGAGGAACACAGCAGGCCAGGCAGCATCAGAGGAGCAGGAAAGTTGATGTTTTGGGTCGGGACCCTTCTTCAAAAATAGGGAGGGAGAAGGGAGCTGGGAAATAGAGAGAGGAGGGGTGGGGCTGCGGAAGGTATGTGGGATGGTGATAGGTGAGTGCAGGCAGGGAGTGATGGGGATTGGTCAGTGAGGTGGGAGGGATGGACAGGTGGGAGAGAAGATGGACAAGTTGTATCAGGTCGAGGAAGCGGGAATGAGAGGTTGGGTTGGACGTGGGATGAGGCAGGGGGTGGGCAGATTTTAAAACTGGTGAATTCCATGCTTAAGCCATTGGGCTGTAGACTCCCGAGGTGGAACATGAGGTGTTGCTCCTCCAGTTTATGTATGGCATCATTGTGACACTGGAGGATGCCCAGGATGGACATGTCATCCAGGGAGGGGGAGGGGGAGTTAAAATGTTTCGTGACCGGAAGGTGTTGTCTTTTGTAACATACAGAGTGCAGATGCTCTACGAAACGGTCTTTGAGTCTATGCTTGTTCTCACTGATATAGAGGAGCCCACATCAGGCTCGTAGACCAGGTTGATGGACGTACAGGTGAACACTTTTGTTTATTAGTTAAAAAGTTTATGTATATTGTATATTAGTTAAAAAGGGCATTTAAAAGAAAACTGAATGGGGTTGCATAAAGGCAGAAGGTTATGCATTGAACCCATCAGGAATACACCCAAATGAGGTTGGCAAATATCTTTGTGCTTTCGTGTGTCGATACTTCCTTGATTCAGCTATTCGATTGATGGGTAAAATATTAATCCAGGACCAAGAACAGAGAAAAAAAAGGCATTGATGACCCTCTTAATGCCTTTTAAAATATTTTTGGAAGGATGTCTGGGTGACACCAAACAATGCAGAACTCTACAAATGCTGTTTGAGCAGTTGATCATGAAACACAAATAAATGTGGGAAAAAAGTCTATGTGCTGGCATTCGATGTAAGATAACATTTGGGATCAATTAGGCGAAAGGAATGTTGAAGTTTCTTGTTTACGCATTCCTTCCCTTGATCTGTGGTTATAGTCACAGAACAGTCCAAGGTCTGAGGACAGAGACCAGCAAAGTCAGAAATCAATAAATCATCTCTAAATTTATAATGGACTGTAAAAAGGAAGCAAAGAATTAGCTTTAAACAGTATTTAAGTTCTACCCAAAACTATTCCTGTCTAATAAGTGTAACATTTGGGGAATCAGTGCAATTAATAGAGCACTGGTTGCATTATTTTAATTCTTAAAACATTAGAAGGAAAGTTTTGCAATAAAAGTGGTCCCTTAACCTCCAGTTGATCCTAATTAGAAGGGGTGAATATTTATTTCCTCTGAGTCCTCAGTAATATGGCTTTGGTCAGTATTAATCTACATGAACTGGCTGTAAGTCCACAGCAGAAAATGATTCTCAGATCTGGCATAGTTGCTTTTTTGTTAATTAGAAAGGCCATGATGATAAGTAGTGAAGGGGATGCAAAAGGTGTGCTAATATTGTGTGTGTGTGTGTGTGTGTGTGTGTGTGTGTGTGTGTGGAGAGAGAGAGATCTAAGTGCTCT